TACTTTGGTATTTGCATATCTCAAATAAGAACATGAATCAAGAAATAATGATTAATGGAGAGGGAGAATTAGTTCAAAGATCAAGGACAAAGATCCATGAGTTGGTATACAATAGCTGCATCCATATAGATAAAATTGTTTGCCACTGTTATGAGAGAAAAGGATTTTGACAAAATCATGTAAACCTTGTCAGAGAAAAAAACTGCATATAGTTTTTCATGTAACACACGACAAAAAAAAATCACCTTTACTATCACATGCTTTCAATTAAAATATTCTACTCCCCACCCATCCTGTTTCATGAACTTTCTCAACCTTGCCCGACATATGCTGACATTCTACCAATCAGTCTGGAAACTTCTGATCTTGATATTCTAACCTCTGCTTTGTAAAAAGTGTGCATATTCTTCCATACTGAGCAAAGTAGTACTTTGCTTCAGAAATTCATTCATGAAAAATCCACTGAACTCATTTGCATAGGATTAGTAAAGTAAATAAATAGGTTTATTGTTGTGACTGCAGGTCATAATAATGTATATTAGCAGAATACCATATATTTACTTCACACCGATCATGTAAGACTCAGCAAAATAAAAATTCTTCCTAATCTCTATAATGACACATTGTATAAAAATATATGCTTTCCCTCCCAAATACATTTACATCATTGTCGATAAATCTTTAAAACGAAATTCATTTTTGTCTTTAAAAACATGGCTGCTGTTCAGAAAGTAAACAGCTGTCAGGAGGCAGCAGTTTTGCTTATTGAGTTATACTTTTTTTAAAAAAAAGTATAAGTATACTTGTAGAATCACTTTTTATTTTTTCATTAAAGGTGGGAAAAAAAAAATATTACAAGAAGCACAGGTTGATATTATTCCACAAAATATCTGTAACAGATATGATTGGTATGGTGGAGTTGTAACAACGAATATGTTTTGTGCTGGCTCTGAAAGTGGAGCTGTGGATAGCTGTCAGGTAAAACTGAATTTTTTTTTTCTTTTGCCATAAAATCCTGATTGGTACCATTTGACTAATCAAGCAAATAAATTTACAAATCTAGGAAATAAAATTAGTTGACACTTTTTGTGGGAAAACAGGCATCACAATTTAGTTCAAGTAATATTTTTTACTTTGCTTAGAATATTTCAACCACTTTGTGTCCATACAAAACAATTTTGAAATAGATGTTGAAATTGGTTCATTTCAATATTGCATATGTAGTAATCATGAAACTTAGCAGAGGATGAATACTCTTATGTATTTCTAGGTATGTATCTTGAGTTTCAAAATAAGCATATTTATACTGGAACTGGAGTGCCCAAAATATCAGTGAAGAAATTTAATAATGTTAGTAATTTAAATTTAGTGATTTAGCAATCTTGTACCACTTACCCAAAAGGAAGCACCATTGAATTAAATGGGCTGAGTGCTAAGTGCACTTAGTAGCACTGCTCTCTAAATGACTCAAAAGATTGCCTAATTCAAACTTTTCATAGTTTCTTAGAAAAAATATTTTAACAATTCATACCCAAATAGGCCCTCGGCAACTTAAAATGTAATTGTATTCTAAGCAACATTCAAATTAATTCCTTCATTTTTTAGGGCGACAGTGGCGGACCATTGATGTGTTATATCCGAGATGTCACACAATATTATCTGGTAGGAATAACCAGCTTTGGCCGTGGTTGTGGCCGACCACAAAATCCTGGGATCTATGTACGTCTAGTTAATTACAGTAATTGGTTGAAAAGTCTTTTACAAAGCAGAACTACTACTATGAACATTCATAATGTTTTAATATTGTTGATAATAAGGTGGATAACATTCCATATTTCTCTATGAAAAAATGACATACCAGATGGTCTTTTCAATATTGCTTCCTCTTATAAACATGTATAGAGCAATTTTTAACAATATGAATATATTATGTTTAGCATACATTTTGTAATATTTCACCTAAGTAGCCTGAATAAATTGAAAATATGTATTTAAACTGTTATTTTAAAAAGGAAACAAAGAGTTTGTATTAGTTACATATAGCTGTCAGAGAAGACAGAGCAAAAGAGCCATTGTAGAGATGAGAAGAGGGGAGGAAAAAGCTATGAATTTCATTGTGACTATAAATTGGATTAAAATATAAGAATATTGTATTATATTAGCAAGACTGGTCTCTAGTGAAAACACTTTTCCCTCCAGAATGGAACTAATAATTTATAAAATTATCTTATTCCTTATAAATTCAAAAGAAATGCATATGACATGCCTAATGTTGCCATGTATTCACTGTCATTATAAAAATAATAAAACGTATTGCATTTGAACATAGATTGTATACTTGAAATTTCAGTGTACTATTTTACTTTCATTTCCAGCTGAGTAACTATCATATAGGAATTTGGGTGGGCTAACGTCATAATATTTTTTT